ACAAACCGCCTTCATTCCTACCTTCACTCTTCAGCACATGCCACGATCTCAGTCTAGAACACGCTCTCCAGCCCTCTGTCTGGGGCGATCCTACCTAGCGGTCTGGTGATGCAGACCTATCACGTGGCTCCCTCCTCTGTGTTCCTGCTGTGGCTGTGCCTTGTGCCCCCCAGTCACAGTCTAGTTTGGGGCAGCCCTATGCCAGACTCCAGCCTTGCATGCAAGGTCCCACAGCCCCTCTCTCCCTATTTCCAGCAACAAGGTATCCACCAGGCCAAACTGCTCCTGTTTCCTCAGTGGACATTCCTGCTGTGGCCCCTGAGCTCAGCTACAAATCCCCTATAATATTCCTTAGCTTGCCACCATTCTTTAATATGTTCAATTACTTTTCTCAATCTTATATAAAGGGTTCTGTAGAGGCCCCTGGGTGGCTCAGTCAGTTATGCGTCTGCCTTTGGCTCAGGTATTAATCTCGGGATCCTGGGATGGAGCCCCAAGAGTCAGCCTCTCTGCTCAGCGGGGACCCTGCTTCTCCCTCTCCCGCTGCCTCTCTACTCCACTCGTGCTCTCTCTCTCTTTCAAATAAGTAAATAAATAATTTATCTCCATAAGTAAATAAAAATAAAGTGCTCCGCAGATGCAGTTTCCAGGCCTTTCTTCTAACCTGATTGCTACTCTAGATCCAACTTATATAAATATTCTGAAACCAACCTCCTCAACCTTAGCAGTTGCTACACTGTATCATCACTGCCAATTTCGTTGTCTGTAGTGATGGGATGCATCAGTCCGCTCTGCTCACCAGTGTACCTCCAGGATCCCATCACCCTGCCTGTTACCTGGTAGGCTCTCAAATGCTGGCTGGATGGTGACTGATTAGTGGGCATTTACAGCGGATGGGGTTCTCTTGACAAAGATGAGGGCAGCATTTCCAAAGGCCACAGGACTCAGAGATGTGGCAAGTGGGACACCAGTCAGGGACCTTCAGTGAGACCATTTGTGGACACATACCTGGCCAATCCCTGTGGGAACTCAGAGCCTCAAAATTCAGGGAGCTTGTGGAACCACCTTACGGATTCCCAGGAAGGGGATACCACAACTGCCCCGACAGCTAAGGTAGGAGCCACGAAGAGGCCTTCCCACTCCCTGATAATTCTATGGCTCCAGCCGCCTCTTTTGCCACAGGACTAGCTCAGTAAAAGACGAAAGAGACCAGACGGAAATACTTAACCTCCCTCACCTGCAAGTGACTGACCTCTGCTAAGGCTACAGCATAGAAAACCCTTAATCAGGGCACTTACAAAACCACTGGAACAGGCGATTGTGAAGTCTTTTATTATCTAAGCAGTGAATCCGTGCATATCGATCCCAAAAGAAATATTGACCAGAACTGCTGGGGAGCTGCTAGTCAGACGGCCCTATCTCCAGCACCCGAGGATGGGGGAATCTGAGCGATCTGTGGTTTAAGTCACTGTTGCCGGGGGAGGACCGCACCACCCACTCCCTGCAGCTGTATAAATGCCCACATGTCCACATGCATTTGCCACCTTCCCATCAACTCCAATCATGACAGCAAACCTGAGACACTTAATTCTGAAGCAGAGGACACTAATCCTGTTTACAGCATTCTCTTCCATTTACTCCTATCATACCAGATGATTAACGGTGTCACTGCTATCAAGTCCCCAGAGGCATGAGGATCTAATACACAACTATCGCTCACAGAGCTGAGGTTCAGAAACAGCCCTCTGATTGGCTGAGAAGAGAGACTCGTTCTGGTACTCTAGCCAATCAGGAAAAACATCTCTCTCCATTCATAAAACACTACATCATCAAGTGAGCGGATGATTAAAGAACTTACAGTCTACCCTCAATGAACCAAGGGAGTACAAACAAGGAGAGAAGGACAAATTGAGATAATAAATAAATCCTAAACTGCAAATTTGTTCCAGCATACGTATCTTCCTCGTGTGTTAGGTTTTTAGTGGTGGGGAAAAAACAGAAGCCAAACACAAGTGTTATTCAGGAAAGAGTTTACAGGAGGCTAATCTGGGATTACAATTTCACCTCTGTAAAAGCCCCAAGCTCGGGAGCTGCACTGAAGGACTCAGCACTACAGTTCAATAGCAAGACACTATCTTCCTACTTCAAGAGGGAGCTTTCCTTTACACCTCCTCTCTCTTTTAAAGGTTGTGCCAAACTCTTAAGATGGCCATTTCAATGGAAGGCTGTTAAAGGAAAAGTTTAAATGTGAGCTTCAATAGAGGAGGACCCTGGTTGTTTTGGCTTGGCATCTAGAAGCCATTCAGTATTTGTTGAATAGATGAAGTATTCCCAGTAAGGATAAAGAACATCTGGCCATGTCTCTCTCCTGCTCAGAGCCTTCAATGGCCACTTCTAGCTTCACCTGACTCCCTCCAGGATTCAGCCATCCTGAGCCTCTGGTGGTTCCCCCATCTGACGTCTATGCTCACTGTTCTAAGACTCAATACGTGGGGTTCCCCAGGCCTCAAACGCTTGTCCGCTTCTGCCCTCCTTTGCCCAGCCAACTCCTACTTGGCCTTTCTGTACCCAGGCTGGGCTTGCTCCTGCTTATGTCACTGTTCTGGGGGCTACCATGGGAGCTCCTGTGGCCTTCTGCACCAACCTTGCAACAGCCACTTGCCTGTCTACTCTTTGCATCACTTTCCCAAGGATGAGGACTAGGCATTTCTTGATCATGCTCCTGTCCCCAGTGCCTGACTCACGAGTTGATTCTCAGGAATTATTTATTGAAAGACTGTAAGACACCAGTCTGGCAGGCTTGATCCAAGCAAACAAGCTATACAACTCTTTGGAACCCACTTGGGCTCACTCGCAAGAGCTGGGGTGGCCCCCAATGTACTTCTAAAACTGTAGAACTTGGGGAGGACCCATAGGATAGGTGTGGGCCCCTCTCACCCCTGCTCCTTCCCAGCATATGTGCCAGGAACGGAGCTCTGAAAAACCTAACACAAATCCAAAGGCACAATCCAACAAAAAGTAGAAGCTGCTGTAATTCTGATCAATAGCATATATAGGTTCTTATTGTGTTTTGCCAGCTTGGGGTTTGCACTTTGGTTTATTTCAATAAATTACCTTTAAACGACCAGAGGCAGCATTAGCTCTGAAGGTATTAGAGGCAGGTCCCAGAATACATGTACTCGAAGCCTCTCTATGGGAAAGGGATAAGGGGTCTCGGAGTTCTGCTGTCACCGGGGCCAGAAGAAATGGCAGACGGAGATGTACCACTCCCTGCGCCTGGCCACTTTGGTACAGACCACGCCAGTGACTTACGGCTGTGTGTTATGGTGTCACAAGTGATGTTCCAGACCACTCCTCATTCTAAAGGCCCTACCTCAAATAATTTTCACTTAAATTGTTCCTTCCTTCTTAAAGCCTTCATCTAGTGATCAGCATTAACAATGGTGACAGGCTATAAAACAAAATAACAGAATGAAGAGATTTCCTGCTCTCTTCCTAAAACTAGAGGGGGGAAGAATTTAAAGACTCAAGGGTATTTTGGTTTTGGGGGGGGTTTTAAGAAAAAAATAAGGTTTTAAAGCAACTTTATCCCCACTGGAGACTGGGATGACACTGCCCAACTTTAGTCAGTTGTGTACAAGGGGTATAAATTCCAGTTGCAGGCATGAGGTGGCCATTTCAGAGCCAATAACTCCTCTGAAGGCAACTGGTACACTAAAGGTGGCCTGCAGTAGTTGGATTCCACCTAACTTACAACTAGAGTCTCCCACTCAAACCTAAAGCTGTTTGAAATTCCCCTAGTCCGCGGGGCAGGAAGCCTGGGACAAAGTACTTTGCCCCCTCTTTAACGGTAAAACCTCAAACCACGAAGGTGGAAGAAAAAGAGAAGCTAACAAGAATGCCCCTCTAATTGTCTATTTTTATATGCTGTTTATTGGATCATTAAAATCTTACAAGGATTTCACGGTAATTGTAATTGCTGAATTCAAAGTTTGTCTTAGCTGTCCGTACAGGCGTTTCTCGCTTTCAAACTCAGCAATATTTTCCCTAACATCTGGTCTTAAAGAACCTTCCAATCTACTGACCAGATCCCTGAGTGATCCGCGGTCCCCGCAGGAGTGGAGGCGGGGCGCGCCACCCCGCACACCTGTTGTCAGGTGACACCGCCAGCGGCGTCCAGCGCACTCACCTCCCCACTCCACCCCACCCCCAGCGAGTCCTTCCCTCCCGGCCTTCTCCACCCCGGGAGTCTACAGCCTTCCGGAGTTACCTTTTAAAAAAAAAAAAAAAAAACTCCCAGCCACAAAGCAAACAAAAGGCTGATCGGAAGATGAACGGGGGCAACGGGGGTTCCCGCGTCCCCTCTCCAGCCAGTCCCTGGACAACCCCCGCCCCGGCCCTGCCCGGCTCCAATCCCACGGGTATCCCCCAGCGGCCAACCCGCCCCTCTCCGCAGAGACCGAGCCAGACGCCTACACCACCGCCACCTGGCTCTCGGGCCCGACTTATCGTGCGGGGGCCGGCAACTCGCGGGCCGGCGGGGGCCTCCCCAAGTACAACTCCGCGCACCGCAGCTCCCGGCCGCCCAGGCCCAGGCTGGCCGGCCAGCGCCGCGGGGCCTCCCCGGGGCCTCCGGCTCAGCCCGCCCGCCCGCCCGCCCCGGGAAGGGTCGCCGGGGGAGGGGCCAGCACTGTCGCCTTCCCACAAAAGCGCCCAGGCGCGGGCCGGGGGACGCGGTTTGGAGCGAAGTTGGCTTCCGGGTTTGCTGTTGAACAAAACCAAAGAGAATCCCGCGCGGCCGGGCAGGGCCTGGGAGGGCGCCGCGCGCGCGCGCGAGGCCCCGCGTGGGCCCCGCGGAGCGCGGCGACCCGAGCCCGGCCGAGCGCCGCCCGTGCGCGCCAGGCCCGGCGGCTCCCGGGCCCCGCGGTCGGAAGAGCGCGGCGACCGGACCGGGCAGCAGGGGACCGTGCGCGCGGCGAGGGGGCCCGCGCGGCACTTACGGGGCGGCTCGGCGGCGGCGGCGGCGGCAGCAGCTAGGTGTCCGGCCCGTGCCCTCTCGGCCGCTCGCGCCTTTTCTCTCCGCGCTCGTCGCCGGCCCGCCCGCCCGCCCGCCCGCCTCCTCGCTTCCCGCCCGCGCGCCGCGCGCTCGCGCCCTCCGCCCGGCTCCGCTGCCGAGTGAACTGGAACCAGTCGCCGCGGCCCCGGGCTTCCCACAATGCACAGCGCGCCGCTCGTCACATCCCATGCCGTCCCCGCGCGTCCGGCCGCCCCTCCCGCGCCCCCCGCGCGCCCCGGCCTTGACCCCGGCCCCGCGGCTGCGCGCGCCACGGCCTCCGCGCTCCGCCGGCCGCCCCGAAGCCCTGCCCACGGGCACCCCGCCTCGAGGCTGGACGCCAGACGCAGCGTCGGGCCGAGCCCGGGCGCGCCCTGAGCCCAGCGCTCGGAAGGGGTCTGGTCCCCCGCAGAGGCGCTTCTCCGGCGCGCCCCCCAGCCCCTGTGCCTCCAGCGACACTTACTGAGCACCTACTGTGTGCCCGAGCTCGGGACTGTAGCTGACTCAACCCTGGAAGCCTTCCCGTTAATCCGGGGAGGGGGAGGCGTAATTGCTGTTACCAGCGAGCAACGCAGACCTCCCGCGCACCTCAGAACTTGCCGCTGTCTTTTGGTGCAAGCCCCCTCAAGCCCTTTTCTGCTCCGTGACCAACTCCTGCGCACCCTGCTCCCCTGGGCTTCTTTACAGTGACCCCCGGAGGTCTGGACCTGCTTTGCCCGTGGAGGCGGTTAGCTACTTTGATTCAGCCAACGTTCACCACTGGACCCAAGTTGGGATTTACTGACATCAAAAGCGATTATCACACACACAGACACATTTTTTTTTTAACCGCAGACAAGCAGAAAGAGAAGGAACCCCTACAAAGCCCATCTATATATTCCTAAATTGGTTTCTTGCCCGAAGGCGTTAGTGCCCCATCCAGGGTACCTAAATAGGGGCCTTCTTTCTACTTCCTTCCCTTTCCTGGCCAAATTGCCATGGGGGAAGCTACCTCAGCACCCAGCTGTGGACCAAATTTAAATAATAATACACGCCGGACCGGAAGAATTGTGAAGTTTAGTGTACCTTGCTGCAGGTGATGGGAAGAGATGAGGGAATTAATCCAAAATCGCTCCCGGATCTCAGTCTGTCCCTACAGCAGCAGTGGTAACCTCCTCCCCTCGCCATGCTGCTTTCACACTAAAAATTTGCAAAGCGGCTCAGTACGTTAAGCCTCCAACTCTTGATCTGGGCTCAGGTCATGATGCCAGGGTCGTGAGATGGAGCCCTGCCTTGGGGGCTCTGCATCGGGCGTGGAGCCTGCTTAAGAGTCTTTCCCTCAAAAAAAAAAAAGAGTCCCTCTCCCTCCGCTCCCCACCCCCATGCTCGCTCGCTCTCTCTTAAAAAAAATAATAAAAATTGAGATATAAACTGGCATATAACAAAATTGAAGGAATGGATTGACCAGATACATTTATGGGTTGCAATATGATTACCACTTCTATTACGTCACATAATTATTTCTCTTTGTAGTAAGAACACACTAGTCCTTGGCCACTTCAGAGACACTTCTGCATCAGGGCCTTTGCACTTCCTCTTCCTCATCTTGGAACACTTCCCCCCTCCCCCATCTGCATGGCTTGCTCCTTCAGGTCTTTGCTTAAATGTCACCTTCTCGGGAGGCTTTCTCTAAAATTTGAAACCCCACCCCATCTTACACTCTTCCCCTTCCCTGCCTTATTTTTCTCCATAGCATTTACACTATCTGACATGTCAACTCTTTAGCCTCTTGTCTTTATTTCCCTACTGGATTTCAAACTCCTAGAGGGCAGGGATTTTTGACTGTTTTGTTTACTGCTTAACCTTCATCACCCACATTGGTGTATGGCACTAAGTATGACCTCAGTGCTTAACTGGATCAATGAATACATGAATGGCTTGTATTGGACGCTGCTTTGCAAACTTTTTTTTTTTTCATTTTTTATTTTTCAACCCTGAGATCATGACCTGAGCTGAAATCAAGTCAGACACTTAATCGACTGAGCCACCTAGGCACCCCATATCTCAATTAAAAAAAAAAAAGGAATAGTGAGTGTGAGGTTGGAGTGAAATGAGTTAAGGGGAGAGTAATAGGAGATGAAACTGGAGAAATGAGTATTCTTTGTGTCCCCTGTGAAAGCATTAAGGATGTGTGAGACTCCCTCAGGGAAGTTACAGAGGGGTGTCAGGGAAGATGCAGAGACCGCCTGTCTTGTTGCTTTGTCCTTCCCTGGGTTCTTGGGCAGGTGCCTCAGTTTTGCAGGGGTCAGCCACCAGATGAGGCTTCTGTGGGCTGCAGCAAGTCAGAAGGATGCCAGACTTTATTTATTCAATCAACAAGCACTTGCTGAGCAACTGCTTTGTGCCAGGCCCATGCAAGACTCCTTCCCAGAGAAGGAAACCTTCTAGGTGTGTTGCCACACTATCTAGACCCTGGTCCAAAATGTAGAAGGTACTCCCGGAAACCTTAACAAGAGACAACATTGGGGCTGAAGAGAAGGCCAGGCCTGTGTGGAGAGGGGGAGGCTCCTACAGCCTGCTGGTGTCCTGGCAGCAGACAAACCTGAGGCTTCTTCTTCCCCAGGTCCTCAGTGATGGCCAAGGCCAGACGCAGAGGATGACTGTCCAACAGATCCTAATCTACAACCCTAGGAGGCCAAGAAGTAATTCATTCACGCCCACCCCAGCATCAGTTCTGTCTCAGTGAAGAGCATGTATGCCCCATAATTTCACCCTCACCGCAGGCAGGCTGTTTCTCATACATTTCCATTCTCATTTTACAGATAAGGACACTATAGATTCTGGAAGCCAAGAAATCTGCCTGAGATCACAGAGAGGGCAGGCACTGGGGTTCAAGCCCAGGTTCACCCAGGCCCTGAGTTTTTGTGACTCAGTCCTGAAGGACCCCTTCTGGGGGTTTGGTTTCCTCTCTGTGCCCATCCGGGCTTCCATGTCCCCCAATGCAGAGTGGGTCTTTTTGTCCCCACTCAGCCCCACACCACCATCCATGGGTTAGAGTCTATACCCCCCCCAAGAGGTGATCTCAATGCCATCCCACCCCCAATACCACTCTACAGTACACTGTTCTCGTAGAACTCACTAGCAGTATTGTCCCCCACAGCTGTTCAGGCAGAGGCCCTCTCTCCTCCTCTCTCCAGAAGGCTCCACCTTTTCTCTCTCTCTTCTCTCCTCCTTATTTCGTATGCCCTGTTCTTTCACCTCCTCGGTGACCTGTCCCCTCACCTAATCTGGCTCAGGGGGTTTCACCAGCCTTTTCCCCTCCAATTGCAAAATAAATGCATGTCTACAATGTGGAACCTGGAAAATAAAAATGCGCAAAATATAAAAATCTCCTTAGTACACCACTAGGAGAGAAGCACGGCTCTTCTTCCAGCTCTTGTATCCATATCTACTTAATATTAAATGTATTTGGGTTTCTACTGCATTTACTGCTTGTCACCAGCTTCTCAAGCTTAACGGTCTTTTATGAATATGACTGTGGTCAGTCATTGTTTCAATAGGTAGTTATTCTACAATAGCCGTTCTCAAACTATTTGGGTTCAAAACACTTTTATCCTCTTAAAAATTAGTGAGGACTCTGAAGAGCTTTTGTTTGTGTAGGTTGTAGCTATCAAAATCTGCTTTATTAGAAATTAAAACAGAAAAATTTAAATATTTATTAATTTATTAATTTTTAAATATACAAAAATATATAAATAATGTATTTGAATGAAAAACTATTATATTATCTAAACAAAAAAGGAGTAAAAATAGCATTGTTTTGCAACTATTCCTTAATGTCTGATTTAATAGACGATAGCTAGATATTGATAGCTATATGTATTTGGGGGAAAAGTAGAGGATTTTAGTAGCCTCCTCAGATTCTTTTGTATGTTCTTCTTTGATATTACACCAAAAGTCAAGAAGTAGTAGTTTTTTAAAGGTTAATCGCTATGCAGAATATGAAACTGATCAATAAACTCGGTAACATAAAAGTCCATTAATCTGTCTTATATCTTGAATGGATGTTTTAGCCATGCATGATCTGGTAAAATCACACATTGGTCATTTGGGAAATTGTTGTTTCAATGGAGTTGTATAGCTCTTCTTACCTTCCAAATATGAGCACCTTTCATTGTAGAATATCAGAAAATCACATTCCTTAATATCAGCACTGATACCATCAAAAGACTCTAAAGTATTGTTAAGTTGTAAAGCTTATCGCAGCAAAATACAAGGATCCTAAAACTGTAATTTTTGCTTGAAAGTTCAAATTTATCATTGGCAACATAATGTTAGTTACTTTCCTTGAAGTGACAGGTTCATTTTGTGCATTTTCAAGAAAATGCCTAGCACATACAGGAAACTATATTATGATCTCTGTGGGCCTTAGGCATTTTGCATTCATTGGGCCCTTCCTCCGTTAAAAAAAATAAAATAAAAAAATAAAATAAATAAACCAAAACCAAACAAAAAAAATCCAAACAAAAAACCTGCATTGATATAAAGACAAATATATTAACACTAGATATTAAAATTGTGCCTTATGGAGAATTCGGCCCTGCACATAACCAGGTCTAAACAACCGTAGTTAGTCAATCAGGCCCAACTTCTCCATCAGGAACATTGCTGAGGCTCACAGGACTTTATGGGTCCACAGAAACATTTTCTTTTAAAATGAGAAAAAGAAAATGCAAGTTAATTCTTTTAGATAGAAGAAAATATTTTAATTTATAATATTACTATATCTTTATACCAGCATGGTCATAAAATGTAATTTTTATATGTTTTATACAGAGAAAAGGATTCACAAAGGCAAAGTCCTACAGGCCAATGAAAGTATAAGCAAGGCCCTGTGGTCAGTCATTGTTTCAAGTACAAATGGTGTCTGGTGTAAAAAACAGCTAAGTTAGCTCACAACTTAATCACACTAAGGCTCTTCCTCAAGGCAACCGTCATAGTTTGTAATATGGTGAAGTGCTTTATCCAGGCTTCTCATTTGGTCACCTAGAATGTTTAGAAATGTGTCCTAAAGGATCAAGATTCAATTTTTTTAATACTTTTTATTGCTTCGTCAAGGACATTCTCT